TTATTTTTTGTGAAACATGTGCTCGTGAAATTTTTAAGATGTCAATCATTACAAAAATTTACGAATAAAGCACCCGAGTTTGTTAAAAAAAATATATATCATTTTGATAATGTTTTGCCCTAGATAATTGTAAAACTGAGTTTTGAATTCTCATCACTATGACAAAAAAAATTTAAAATCATTTTATATTTTGCTTACCTTTATTTGTTAAAATACTTTTGATAGTTGATACTTGATATGATTTATACTGCATTGTTGTAAAACTGAGTTTTGAACTCTCATTATCAAGAAAAAAACTTTTAAAACCTTTTTATACTTCGCTTACCATTTTTTGTTACAATGCTTTTGATACTTTTGAATAAATAAATGAAAAAGTGTTCGTATAGGTTATTTTTATTTTTATATCTTATTATCATATTCATATGGCATCTTTTTACGATAATTTATTCGAAAATGCTACCTTTAATTGTTGAAAGAAAACGTTTACGTACTAATCGAACCCTATTAATTTTACAATATATTAGAAGATGTCATCATTTTTCATTCGCAAACATCAGTTAAAACTATTATTGAATTTTCAACACTCTATGCATAAAACATGGTTTCTTTGTAACAACCTTTACGTGTCACAAAAATCACGTTCTACGCACAAAATGTGAAATGTCGTATGTAACAAGAACTTGAAGAACTAATTTCCGAACACAAGTACACGAAGAAAATACCTGTGATTTGAATTTACATTGATTTAATTTAATATATTGTGCATTGAATCAGTGAAAAAGATGACTTGCCTATTGATGAACCTGAAATTTCCTTCGTTGAAGTTCGACGAAAAATTCAAAAATAATTTTTTTTTATTTAAATGTTACAATCGCGATGCACTATCATATTTAGTTTTGGAGGGTTAATTGTCAACAAATATGACAGTAGACCAAGACAACAACATTCAAAGAATAAAAAAACTTTTTGAAACCCTTCGTCGAAGTTCAACGAAGGAAACTTCAGGTTTATCCCGCGAGTTGTTTTTGCCCGAGCGTAACGAGTCATCTTTTTCACTTATTTAATTAATGCACAATATATTATTTTATATCAATGTTAATTAAAATCAAAGGCACTTTCTTCGTGTACTTGCGTTCGGTAAATATCAATGTTAAAATAATATTCGTTAATTGCAAATTAAATGTTGAAATTTAATTCATACGCATAAATAGTTTAAATAGCCATGCGCGGAGCTTTTTCGATTCTAAGCGTAAGTTATCTTTTCGCATATCTCAAAATGAGTAGCACCATCTAATATATTTTTTCTTACTAAAATGAAGCTGCAATCCATATACTTGGTTTAGGATAATTTATTTTAGCTACTTATATCTTATTTTCATTCGTCTATTCAGGCTTTCTTATTTACGAACTTCGTGTACAATTTTTTAGATTAACGATTGTTTATCTCTTTGTAAATTATTTTTTGATGTGTAACGTCTTATGGCTCGTTGGGTAGGCTAGTGCATCCGTGAAAAACGAGCGAGCGAGCGAGCGCGATAATCGTAGGTTTTTAGTCTCAGTAGCGTCTGTTCGCTTCTCGCGCCGTGATTGGTCGACACTAGGCAGTGTTGAGTGACTGCTAGCTCGCTTCTGCTGCAACACGAATAGCTAGCAGTACTCGGCAGTCAGCGCTCATGTCTATGAAACGTACAATGTAGCGTTGTGTGTCTCTGCGTCTCTGTCTCTCGCTCATGAATTGCGTTATTATGCGTGTTGATCGGTCAAATAATAACTCGAGTTATTTTATTGTATAGCTTCGCGCACATGTCTACAATCGTAAATCATAAATCGTAGTGTTCTGGTACACTAATTTTTATAAATTTACGTAAATATAACTACAAATTCGTTGGTGAAGGATGGTAATATGTCGAGGCCGCGGAGCGGCCTCGGCAACCCCAATTAAACCTTATTTTCAATTCATAACCAATCATAATATTAATTATCCATCCGGATTATAAAATTCACGAAAACGCAATTCAAAGGACCCTGGGAAGTTAACAAGGCACCGTGGGTGGTTTTGACCTCCTGAACATAAGTCCTTATGGGCGGTACTCGGTCCTGCGAGCCGTTTTCGAGAAAAAAAATTATTAAAGTCTCGTCCTTTTGCGGTGACCCGACATAACCCCTCTGCGCCAGTTGAGCGTCGCGCGCGATCATTCAACGCAACCGACGTCTTTCGCTATGCACAAATAATGATAAAGTAGAGTTGTAACCCAAGAAATGGGATGATTCCACGTAATTTTATCTTCATGATGCTGAATTATAGAAAAAATGAGAAATAAAATCGATTGATATGATCATAAAACTCTGACAGAGAGTACATAACGAAGACGCGTTAGGATAGAAAATAATTTTTCTCTACCACTTGATTGCAGACGCGATTTTCAGAAAATTATAATGAATAAAAAAATATCTCGAAGTCTAAAAAATGTAAGCCCTATGTCTAAGATACTTTGAATGAATTTTTATCGCATAAAATACTAAAATCGTGAACAAATCAAACGTTCAAGTCGATCGCATACATTTTCCAGTAATTTCGACCGGAATGAACGTTTGTTCGAGGTAAACAATAATTTGAGGAAATTCCATGAAAAATAAGGATATCTAGGGGTCTTAAAACGTATCAGGACATCGCTTGCGACATTGCAATGGTTGGAGATAAATATACTCATCGATCGCCAGCTTTTGCAATAGGTCCAAGACTTAGGCAGCACGTCCGTCTAACTTTGAATAATTTTTGAACGATAATCATCACTTTTTTGTTGGATTATCTTCTGTTCGAGTTGATCGCCAACCTTTGCAAGCAATTTCAATAGGAGGAAATATTATTATCAGGTAAACAAGAATTTTAGAAAATTGTGTCAAAAATTAAGGTTTCTAGGAGTCTTAAAAAATATAACAATCACGTTTCAATAATTCTGATGGCCTAAGATAGCTTAATATTTTGATCGCCAGCTTTTGCAATAGGTCCAAGACTCAGGCAGCATGTCTGTCTTACATTGAATAGTTTTTTAACGATTATGACCTTATTATTTTTGGCTGATCTACTGTTCGAGTTGATCGCCAACCTTTGCAAGCAATTTCGATCGGAGTAAACGTTATTTTCCGGTAAACCAGAATTTTAGAAAATTGCGTCAAAAATTAGGGTATGTAGGAGTCTTAAAAAATATTGGCGATTGACTCGAACAGAAGATAATCCAACAAAAAAGTGATGATTATCGTTGAAAAATTATTTAAAGTAAGACGGACGTGCTACCTAAGTCTTGGACCTATTGCAAAAGCTGGGGATCGATGAGTATATTTATCTCCAACCATTGCAATGTAGCGATCGACTTGAACGTTTGATTTGTTCACGATTTTAGTATTTTATTCGATAAAAATTCATTCAAAGTACCTTAGACATAGGGCTTACATTTTTAAGACTTCTAGATATTTTTTTATTCATTATAATTTTCTACAAATCGCGTCTGCAATCAAATGAAAATGTTACTTTAGGCCGGGGGATTCACAAAAAATTGTATTTGCACCTATGTAGCGAAAAAAGAAAGTCTCAGAGCACGTGATTATCAGCCTCGGCTTCGCCTCGGATATTAAATTACACGTGCTCTGAGACTTTCCAGTTTTTCCAGGTGCAAAATATACTATATATTGTGAAACGCGTCAAACGAACTTACACCCTGAAAGAGTCGCGACCGGCATGTAAAAGTATGAATGAATGAACGCAAAGTACGATGTATGAAATTACACGAATGCACAAATGCACGAATATACCGAATCACGAAAATACTGTCAATATAAAGAAGTCCTGAAGAGGCCGACAAAGTGGTCGGCGAAACGTCGACTAGGTGACGAGGTAGTGTGTGATTACGCACTCTCGTCCACCGCCTGTTTTAATAAATTTGACTTTGGCACCGCCTTTATCGCTGTTTTATTTATATTGACATTTACCAAAAAAGGCGCAACAATTTTATCACGAAAATACTATTTAACTTCCTAAGAAACGGTCCGTGTGCCGATAATCGCAAGGTGGCGCCCAGATTTATACGAGCATTTTGTATTACTTTCTTCATAATAAATAATAATAATTCATTAATATATTTATTAAATTGAAAGTCTTTGAGTGATTTCTTAATCCTTATTATGCCTTATATACGCCTCTATCTTTGGCCTCTCTGTTAAGCTCATCCGATCTTAGCAATCGTCGGCTCACTGCTTTCAGCAGAACCCTATAATCAACTGGGATTAGGGGGCTCTTGTACGCAGCACTGCGATAAATGTGCTCTGTGGCAAAATCTAGCCTCACTTTTGGCACTGAAACTTGGCACTTGCACGACCGATGCATAGTCGCGACACTTTTGCTGCACTCAGCTATGCACTCGTCGGCGACTTCTTCGTGTCAAAACTTTGCTCAGCCGCAAACTGTTACTTTTTTAATCGTAAACTGCAATTCTGTTGTGACTTCCGTTTACACACGTGTCTACTCTTGCTCGGCTTGTGGTTATCTCTGCCATGCCGTGGCTTGCTCACAGGCGGTGCAGCAAATTGCGCAGCGGGCACGCTGTTGTACAGCTGTTTTTGCGCAGCCTGATGTTGCATATACTTGGCCTAAGTTTGTCGTAGCTCGGGCCTCTGCTCGCTATTTGGCCTCGGTGTCGAGTACTAGATGTCATCCGAGCTCGTCTTCTTCGCGGCCTGAAACCTAGGCTAATCGGAAATACACGCGAAGGCTCATTCGTTCATTCATTCTCGTGGCAAAACTTTCCACCACGTCTTGCCGATGTACAGCCTGCCTGTGGTTTGGCACGATCTTCTGGCTCATGAATTTGGGCCTTGTCACATATCATTAACTCGTGTAAACCTTCAGAAAAATTGCACGGGATCATATAGAAAAGTTTTTCATGGGAATCATCATTTTCTAACCATGGAATAATAATATAAAACATTTTTTGTGATGATTTATAAACTAATTTATTAGTATAATTATATCACATTATTAAAATTGTAAAAATTATTCTATAAAAATGTTATCTTATTCAACATAATTTTCGCATTCAAATTGATATAATGTATCTTTCATTAAAAATTAGTTTCACTTGTGGATGGGATCTTAAGAATACTCTAGTTTTTTTATAGGATATTTTTCACTTTGTGCTTGCGAATTCTAAACAGTGCAATTATCAGTTAGAATTATTAGTAATTTCGCACATGCTTGTGTATGTGCCTGTAAGAAAACCTAAAAATCCAAATGCTATGATTAACAAATTTTTCCATAATTTCCAAAAACAAAATCCGAAACCATGATCTTGCTCCCAAAAAGTAACCAATTCAATTATTGATGGAAACATCAGGCCAAGAGTTGATAGACATATTGCTCCAACAAGAGATATAAACGGTCCAAGGTTTGGTATAGCGATGGCCATTCCAACAGTAAACGTCACCAAAACTATTCGAACTATATATTCAGCTACAACTTTTCTGGATCCAAAAATGTGTTTTATATTTTTCCATATAATTTCCATCGGGACATAAAACTGAAGACCGTAAGTCAAAAAAATTGCCGTCGCTATCATTACTTTTACTGATTGTGCAAGCATAGAGGATTGCTCTAAATTGAGAGTGATTGAACCTTTAGTGTCATCTTGATACTTTAAATAACCAAAAAATCCAACAGTACTGTATAAGCTCACAACGAAAAACATTCCGATATTAAGAACTCCAGGACATCCGAGAAAGTGTGATGGTGTTTTCATATTATTTTCTAGTGGCATGACCTGTAATATTAAAAATTAAATGTATTTTTAAGTAATTTTTGGTAAGAAATGGTCCATTTTTATTTAGCGCATTCAATTAAAAATCGTTATTTAAATATTAACAATTCGTTTTCATCTAATAGAGATATTCCACAAACATAAAATCAAAAAAATTTTTTATTATTTTCTTTATATTTAGCCCCATAACAAGTTTTTGTAATTTTTTCAAGATTTTTCTCTATGTCTAGATTTTTCCAGTCTCTAAGACCTATCGAACTAATACAAAAACTCATAAGATATCGATTGTTGTTGTATGATAATGATTGCGGTTTTGGCGGCAAAGATACACGAAATGACTTTTGTGTTTTTTCTAAGATACACAAAATAATTTTTGTGGCCACTAATATATGCTTAAAACAATGTATTGATTCAAATAAACACTTCTGTGTAAACTATTTGGATGTTAATTTTGTCCAAGGAACGTGGATTAGAAAATGTATAAGCATACAGATTTCAAGTTCCAGGGACAAAATTAACATCCAGATAGTGTACACAGAAGTGTTTATTTGAATCAATAAATTGTTTTAAACATATATTCGTGGCCACAAAAATCATTTTGTGTATCTTAGAAAAAACACAAAAGTCATTTCGTGTATCTTCGCCGCCAAGAGCCTTCGAAGAGTTTTTTTAGTTTTTACTTTTTGCCATCATAATATAAGAATTTAACCCATTAACGACCAAAATGCTTGATTTTTTTGTTGGTTTTCGCAGCGATTTTTTTTGTAGTTTTAGACCTTAAAAAAATTTCGCAGGGACCTATTTCGATGTAAAATTTAATGCCCTTTCAGAAACTGAGCGCAAAATTTTGATTTTTTGTGTAATAAAAAAGTTATAGCTACTTAAACAAAAAAAAACGTAAAAATTTTTGAAAAAAATCAAGTTTTCGATTTTTTTTCGCCATGTTACCGGTAAGGAATCACGATATAAATATGATCAGGGGTGATCACGACTATCAAAGTATCTCAGAGAATTTTTATGGAATTTTTGAACCATTTTTCAAATCTTCGTTTTGTGCACTTTTTCTCTAAATTCAATAGTTTTCGAGTAAAAATGAGTCATGTTTTATATGAATATGAGTTATTTTTTGTTTGAAGTAATGGTTCGAAAATTCCATAAAAATTCTCTGAGATACTTTGATAGTCGTGATCACCCCTGATCATATTTATATCGTGATTCCTTATCGGTGACATGGCGAAAAAAAATCGAAAACTTGATTTTTTGCAAAAATTTTTACGTTTTTTTTTGTTTAAGTAGCTATAACTTTTTTATTACGCAAAAAATCAAAATTTTGCGCTCAGTTTCTGAAAGGGCATTAAATTTTACATCGAAATAGGTCCCTGCGAACTTTTTTTAAGGTCTCAAACTACAAAAAAAATCGCTGCGAAAACCAACAAAAAAATCAAGCATTTTGGTCGTTAATGGGTTAAAGTATTTTGATAATTTTGCAAAAATTTTTAGATAATAGCTGAAAACGCCATCTTGTCCCCTTTAAAACTCGATGAAAGTTTAATATTTCAAAGTTCTCTATACATTAAAACAATATTTTGGTTTTCGAATAGCTTCCGTGGCCTATTGAATCTTCAATTTAGTACATAAAGCAACTTTTCAAGCTATTCTGATGAGTCATCAGTGATGACCTAAAAACGCTTCAAGTGAGTACGGAATCTAAAAATTGGGGTTTTCAGTCAAAAATACTAATTTTGCTCTGGTGGCATCAGTGCGTTTTTTGCTTGTTACATAAGTGAGGCTCCCGGCCGCGCAAGTTAGTCGCCTCTCAGCAGTCAGCCAGAGCACTCGTAAGTTGACTTATGTCGAACGGGCCCCCAAAAATTTTGGCCCAGGGCAATATTTCAATAGTGAGCTTGGTAAACTATAAAAATACTCGCCTTATCGTTTCGCTACCTTTCCCCAGTTCGAAGCTTTAGAATCGGCTGCCAGGTGGCGCAGCGTTAAAACCCAAGAGGAAGAGCATTGTTCAGGGTATTAGTGTCAAACAACTTCTAATATTTAAAATATCGTAAGGAAAAATACAAAAGTGACGACTGGACCCTTTTTACTCGGCACCTACGATTGCTACAGACCCAGAAGGGCAAATCGACCATGGTGTCCATCAAAAGACAAAGGAAAATGTGGTCTTCTTCCCATAGTCTCATTCAATCGTCTTGGAGCGTCTCTGTCAATTCCGAGTGGTCCCTTGTGGCTTAGAGTCTTGCAACATCGCGAGAAATCTATCCGGGGCGTATTTGACTATCTTAAAGCCCAAATGGCACTGACAGAGGACTCACCAACAAGTCTCTGGCAGGTTATCTGGCTACACATTTCAGCACTTACCAACTCCAAGACCGGCAGTCATTTACTGCCCAGTTTAGAGGGAACAAAAGCCAAAGCTAGAGGTTATAACATCAAAAAAGACATGCGTCTCTCTAACTAGGAAGTAACCTGCCCAACGAGAAGCCGAGTAACGAAGTCAATAACAAAGATAACAGTAACTAACTACAAAACTAATCAGCCCTTTTCAGGGCCACGATAAAATTAAAACGTAGAAAATATTACGCACTAAACAGCTTTTAACGCTGATTAGTCTACAGATGGTCACATCAACTGATGCAATCTTCTCAGATTTTCTCCTACCTAACATTGCACAACAAGAAGAAACAATAGGCACTCCTATAAGTCAATGATCCATGAAAGAACATTACCTAAGGAGCTTAGCCTTCTTGGCATCTCCTTTCGAGGTAGAGAAAACTTACTAACAAAGCACAGAAATCCGGCTAAGCTTTGACATTTTTTTCGTGAAGGGCTGTGGACTCAGAGTAGATTGCTTCAGCCATTTCATTCGTTTTTACGCCACACACTTGAGCAGATCTTGTATGCAGCAAACCTTCTGAACCTCACAAGTTTCATAATCTTTTTTACACGTACTATTTCTTTTGTGATAGCACTTCACTATTAATAAATAGATCTCTGTATTAATTTAGTGAGTGAAATATTTATTAATTTGTGTGCCTCACTATTAATTTAGTACCATGCTTAACGACACATTCCATTTTTAAAACTAAAATTGCCAGAAACTCGGATGAGTCTCTAGTCAGAAGCAATCTGCGACTATTACTGAAGAGATAGGGAATTGCTTTGGTGATCTATGCGTTCTACTGGAACAGTACTACGGGAAAGCGCCTTGGGTAAGAAGGTGATTTATGCTCCATCAACTGACAACTGCTGTATTGATTGCCAGTCCACAAGTTCACTTTGTAAAGACACCAATCCTTCCTAAGATACTCTCTGCAGCTGTCAGAAAAGTTGAAGGGTAAATATGTAAATGTGTAAATGTCCGTCTTTCGATGCTTTCAACCTTGGTCATTCCAAAGTCGTGACCGTGGACTATTGAGAAATTTCCACAGCTGGTAGTTTGATATTTGGTGACTCTGCTAATATCTTTGGTCAAATTGGAGCTGGGAGTACTAAAATTGCGTCTTTGCGATAAATTACCTGAAAAAGATTCTTTAGCAAAAAATACAGTTTCTCGTGACGTTCACAATTTGAAGAGACACAAGTTTGATAAGAATAATCACTTATCTTGCCTCATTAACTTTGTACGTCTTCACTTCCGAAGAAATTGAAGATCGGGAAACCATTTTTGTAACTAAATTTTTGTAAGTATAAACTCATCGATTGCAAATTAACCTTCGACAAACCGTCACTAAGTTCGGCTATCAACCTACTTCTTTGAGAAGGCTACTTGTTCTTTACTTTTGATGAACTATCTATACTTTTGTAATGGACAATCATAATTAAATTTTAGATGTGTTACTTGGGTTACTTACCCAGGACGGGTCCGTAACACATCCAAAATTCAGGCCTTCAGATAAAATCATTAAAAATGTTGAAAATCTAGATACGGTGAGATATGAGCTGATGTAGTACTCGGAAATTTTTTCAGTTTTTTTCGGCATTAAAAAACATAACCTCAAATTTTTTCAGATTTTTTAATTGAAGGCGATAGCTTCTAGGGCCGAAAAATACTATTTTTAACAAAAAAAGGTTCCTAGAACCCGATGGTTCCGGTAAAAAAATTTGAAAATATTTTTTTTTAATTCCTTGACAAATTTTAATAAATTTTGACCGTTTCAGTATTCCGATTGAAGCCTCCTAGCACAATCTAGAGCAGGACAAAAATTAATGCAAATTTCTGAAGACGGTTTCTGAAAACATTAAAAAACGATAAAACTATTTTGATGCTATTGAGCTCCGTATCGCTCTGAAAAAATTATTTTCGTTAAAAAAAGCGGTTTTTGGCTTCAAAAGGTGCGTTAGGTAATCTGAAAAAATCTGAAAAAAATTGAAGTAATGTTTTTCAATGCGATAAAAAACTGAAAAAATTTCCGAGTACTACATTCGCTCATATCGCCGTATCTAGATTTTCAAAGGCCTGAAGTACTCGAAAAATCTGAAAAAATTCAAAATTGTTTGGATTGTTGAAAAGTATTTTTGTAAATTTTTTCAGATTTTGTAATTGTTTCATGTATTCAGAAAAAATATAGATCCAAAATGGACGTTTATACCGGAAGTGGGGGTAGGAGGGGGAGGGAGTCTAAAAATTTTTTTTTTTACCTTTTTACCATGTACAATAACATATCAAAAGCGCGTCAAAATCGGTGACATACGTGCGCACGGGTTTGTAAAAAAATATCATTTTGACCCATATATATTGTATGTTCTGCGTATTTGACAAGAACATACGCTATTTTTGTACGATGCATTTTTTAAGGCTTAAAATTCTATAATTTTGAGCAAGCTCTATTCATTAAAAAACCTGCGAAGCAGAATTTAAGCTAAAAAAATGCATCGTACAAAAATAGCTGAATCTCAGCGAATCTTGCAAATTTTTAACTTCTGAAACCGGCGTTGGAAAGGTGAGAAAAAAACCTATTAGATGATTTCATGCAATTTTTTCCATAGTT